AAAAAAAATGCCCGCTCATCCGAAAAACAGTCGGATTCGTCCTTTTCCCTCCGTATTCACTAGAACGAAGCTTTGCCACAACTTTTATTATTATAATTCACATGAGCAGTAAATGCAGTCTTTCGATTATTTTTTCTATGTACTACTATATTTATTGTTAGTTTTCAACACTTTTTAATGTGCGATAAAAAGCGAATTTTATTTCTGCTAATAATAATCTTCATTACCACATAATATTATTACTTTTATAAATAACCTACACTGCTTTCACTTTCATTACTGCAATGGATAACCTCCACCGGTAGTTCCTGATTATTCGCTATTTATTTTCATCACTGTTGGAAAAAAAAAGCTCTAGCGAGCAGTGTGATATGTATTATTTTTCCCAAAAAAATCCCCCTCGTTTTTCACTGTCGTTCTAAAACTGGAATTACCACACTGGATGAGTGCTACCTTACCGACTCTATCATTTTCCTGTAACATCACACTGAAAAAACAACACAAAAAGTTACGCAGTTGATCGTGCTCACTGTTGCAGAAGAATTCGATGACCGCCGTAAGGAACAGTTCCATCTGGAACTGCTTTGTATCGCTGTCGCATTTCTGCAACGCATCGCTCTTCTTTTTCTTCTTCGGCGGATACACTGGTGGACTGTTTTCGTCATCTAAAATGGTCTCGTCATAATGTAAAATCCTTTGCTCAAGATATAAACCACATGAACGAAGTGTAATTTGCTTAAGAAAAAAGTTTTATGTTACCTCGTATGCGTTTTTGCATTTATTTGAATTGTAAAAATGCCCCGAACTAATGCCCACATTTGATATTCATATAAAACACAGGAACCTGAACTTTGGAATCATCATTCGTGGTTAAAGCGCTCTACTAATTTACCCAACTTCTCCCTCAATCGGCATATGAATTTGAGCGGAAAAAAATGTTCTGCCTATTGCGCAGTTTATGTTCGCTTCTTTATCAGTTCTCACATAGTTCTCACTCATTCCGCTATCTATGAAGAACCATCAATACCACGCTATCGAATGCTTTTTCATAGTCAACGAATAGAAAATAGAGCGGGAGCTGATACTCCCTTCCGCATTCTTGCAGTCGACTTACAACGAAAACGCGGTCCACGCGGAGCAAGTTTCAAATTCAACTTGATTTCTCGACTACTCGCATCAAGAAGCCCCGCCAGTCGGTTGACACAATCCTCATAAGCAGCTTATAAACAGGAGAGGCAGATCGAGAAGTAATTCATATTTTCCTTGCCCTTTTTTGGCAACAAAAGCTGTTGCCTCTCTCCACTGCCTAGTTTCTTTTGGTAGGATATCAACTGAACAAGGCGACGAAAATCTTCCAAAATTTGCGTCCACCAGATCCGAACAGTTCAATACTGATCTCGTCATCGCAAGGTCCTTTTTACTTTTCACTTGGAAAGCTGTATATATTACCTCGCTCATAAGTGTAAGGGCTCTGCTATTTGGTGACGAGAACTGCATTTGCCAGGCAAATGCATGTGACTGAACAGACTCGTATACAAAATCCTATATTTTACAAGCAGCTATTAAAGCTCGGCTCAGCTCGGCTAGCCCTCGGCTCGCCTCGACTGCACCACGGCTAGCCCCGGTAGCTGCACGGTTTGCGAATTCACTCGCA